GATGAGGCTGTACTGGAAGGCCTTCGACCGCATCCTGGGTTGGAAAGCTTATGTATTGAAAACTTCATGGGAGATAGGTTCCCATCGTGGATGATGAGAAGGCCATTACTGCTCAACAACTTGAAGGACATTCAGCTACTTGGATGCGACAAATGTGGAGGAGTCCCATCGCTTGGTCATCTACCCAATCTTACGAAGCTTAAGATTAATGGAATGGCTAAGTTGACATGCCTTGGAGCTGAATTCTATGGTTATGATCTTGTCCACAGTGTAACCACGACAAGTAAGGAGATAATTACTTTATTTCCTGCACTAAAAGTATTATATATATCTAGGTGTGGTGATCTAATTGAATGGAAGGAAGCACCAACGATGTCAACAAAAAACGTAGTGGTTTTTCCTTGCCTCGAGAAGTTGACCATTGATAGTTGTTCCAAATTGAGAAATGCTCCAAGTCATTTTCCATATCTCCAAAATTTGGAGATAATTTCATGTGATAGCAGAACGCCAATAGAAGAAATAAGCAGTGGATTGACAACTCTCACTTCCCTCAAAATAAAAGATATTAAGGAGCTTACTTGTTTGCCACAAGGGATGTTGAAGAACAACAATAATCTCTTATCTTTGGAGATAAGTGATTGCGATGATTTAACTTGTATTGCCTCAGATGTATTTGGTTCTTGCGTCTCTCTTGCGAAATTGAAAATTTGGGATTGTAGAAAGCTGAGGCATTTGGCGGATGGGCTAGATACACTCCCTCTCCTTGAGGAACTGACTATTAAGAAATGTCCTAGTCTAGAGTTGATTCCAATTACACAGGGCATGGCATCTCTACGGGAATTAGAGATTGGTAATTGTGAAGGATTGTCTAGCCTACCGAGTGGGTTAGAGTACTGCACCGCCCTCCAGACATTGAAGGTAGAAAAGTGCGATGGCGTAACATCGTTTCCAGTTCACACCCTTGCAAGTCTTCGCAATTTGTATATTTGGGATTGGAATGGATTATCAGGCCCACTTAGTGTATGGGCCTGCCTCGTGGAATTGGAAATAATGAGTTGCAATAATCTGACATCAATTGAAATTAAAGGCGACGTGTCCTCTCTTCAGAAGTTGAGAATCTGGTTTTGCAAAGAATTATCAAGCTTACCTGCTCTTCCACAACAATGTCCCTCTCTTCAGGATTTGGAGATAAAGTTTTGCCCAAAGGTAGCATCGTTCGGTGTCCAAAGTAGCAGCATTAGTCTACAATCTACTTCAGATTTGCGCACCATGACCTCCCTTCGACAACTGATGATTGGAGGAGGATGTGAAGGATTGGAAAGTTGGGTTAGCGGGCTGCAATTTCCACTCTCTCTTGATATGCTGGAAATATACGATTTTCCTAATTTAGAGATTCTTCCAAGTTTAGACAACCTCGATTCTCTCCATTATTTAGACATTACGTATTGCCGAAAGCTAAAATATCTGCCGACGGGGTTACAACGGCTCCAACGCTTGAAGGTATTGACAATCGGTGGGTTGTGGGAGGAGCTCGATTCCTTCCCTGATTTTCAAGTTGGATCATTAATGCACCTTACAAGATTAGCCTTGTATGGTTGGCCTAAGCTCAAGTCTCTGCCTCAACAAATTCAACACCTCACTTCTCTAACATTTTTGAGGATAGATTCATTTGACGGAGTGGAGACTTTGCCAGAATGGTTGGGTAGCCTTACTTCCCTTAGAGTGCTGAGGATTGAAGATTGCAAGAATCTGACCAACTTACCTAGTGTCCAAGCTATGCAACGCCTCACCAAATTACATACATTGTCAATTTTTCAATGTCATCCCCTTCTAAAGCAAAGATGCAGCAGGGACAGCGGCACAGATTGGCCCAAGATTTCTCACATTCCATCTATCGCAAGTACGTTCTAGAATTCTTGAAATGAAATTACAGAGATGATGTTACATGTTTATCTCTTTTCTTCTTTTATTCGTCTCAACTACTACATACAAATTTAAACTAGCATAACAAAAGTTATTTATTCTTCTCCCTCTTCTTTTAAATCAGTTGACGGAGAATTCATACAATCGTTGGATGGAAGGTAGGCAGCACCTTACCAACCTACAGCAAATGTGTATTGGAAAAACCAAATTTCATGGTGTGCAAGGCCACACTTGTCCGAATGGCTCCAACTTCCACATTGAAATTAATCCATGTAAGCTTTTCTAATCCTCACCTCCTCTTCTCTTCTAAATGCATTCTACTCTTGACTTTTCACTTACTGTATATGTTGTGTTTTCGCACGCTGTGGCATTTTTCAGGATGCTCAATAGCTTTGGACAGATATTTTTATGGTTACTTGTGAAATCTAAACTGATTTTTTAATCGTATGAACAGTAATTACATTGTAAAATACCCGCATTATCGCAGAGATTAGATAAAAGAATCTTCAGTTGCAATGCTAGATGATATTTTCAAGCTCTGTCCAGGCAGAACTGGGAGTCTGGTAGAAACTCTTGACCGAACATTTCTAATTTAGACAAACTGGGAAGCACTCATCCCTTTAATTACACTGGATCAACATTCTTTGTTGGATACTTAATGCAAGTCGCTACTCGAGGGAGTGGAGGCTTTGCCAGAACTGTTGGGTAACCTTACATCCTTGTAGAGTTGGGAATTAGATGAATTACAAGAATTTGATGAATCTACCCTCTGCCAAAGCTATGCAATGCGTCGCCAATTTACTGTCACAGTAAATTAAGCAATGTAAGTTTTTTAAACTCCACCCCCTTCTCTTCTAGCAATTAAGTTGACTTATTATATATGTTGTGTTTCCAATTGGCATGTATAACTCTATTAGCATCCTTTGGCATTTTCATGACACTCTTGCTCAATTGGAACGATGTAATGCAGTAGGTGTAAACAGAGTCCAGGTGCTGATGCAAACAGGTCCTTCTTTCATCCATTGCATGCTAGCATGTAACTTCTGAATTGGCTCATAACTTTGTTGTTGAGAAATACATTGAAATCGAAGCGGACTTGGTTGTTCAACCATCAGTCCATCACTTTTAGTTCTACCTGGCCAGACTAGTTCTCATTATCATTCACATTGTTTTGTTCCAAAACGTTTTAAAGTGGAATTTTTCCTCTGGCCTGATTGTTACGAGAGTGATACTATTGTTAATTTTTTTGTCTTTCCTAGCAGAACATTATAGATCTCGGGACTTTTTGGGATTCAATGAGAAAGTTAGTTGAAATGCCACTATCGAGAGTGATATTATTGTTGGTGTGTTTGAATATAAACCAGATTAATGCTTTAAATTGTTATGACATAAACATACGAATCACTCGTACAAATATATGTAAACCAATTTAACACTTTCGATTGCTATTCATTCTTATCAAAACAAACAACAACTAAACCATAAACAAGAATGTTCTGCATATGCTTATACATGTTCCGCACGTAACACAATTTATAATTGTGTTACCTCCGTAGTTGGTAATACTTTGTAAACCATACGACATGTTCATTTTGCAGCAAGCCCATTAGACCTTGATTTTACTCATGAGAGTCTTCGAGGGAATTGTTTTTTTCGGTCATGGAACTCACTCTGTATCAGCGGTGGCAGGGGATATGAACTTTTATGGCCTAGGAAACGAAAATGCTAGAGGTAAGGTGTTCCTGCTGTGAAAAGTGCAACATATAAAGTATGCAAGCTTTTATGCTGCGGTCATGTCAGGCTATCTGTTTTAATTAGCAGAGCTAGTTTGAAAACTAATACTCATGGTAATAGTTCCAAGCATATTATTATCAGTTGAAAAGTTGAAATTTGTGCTTTATGTTTTCTTAAGTTGTTTTGGTGTTATCTTTGTACAGGGAGAATTCGGATTCCATTCAAAACTCATGCGTGGATCAATATCATTCTTCAACTTCAATCATCTTTCCTTATCATCAAATCCTAATTTGGACACAAATTGGTAATCTTTTATCTTTTTGATTCCAACTGGTCAATATTCTTTGTTGATACTCGTCACCAAATTGAAATGTATCCTTAAGAGTTTGCAGATATTTGAATTCAGTTAATTTTTTGTGTTGTATGGGTCTTTAGAAGCTTGGGCTTCCTAGCGTCCTTTGTGCCTTGCATTGCTGTGAAAGGAGAGTGCAAGAAGCAGCCAACTGTTGAATAGAGGGAGAGCTTGAGCTTTGAAGCCGAAAAAACTTTGGTACTACCCTAATTGTTACTCTCTCTCTTCACTTGCTTTCTAAAAGACTCTCTCATGCTCCTTTCGAAATGTAACCTACATTATTATAGTAAAAACTGGAGAAACTACTAAACATGGACGTAGCCCATCTTGCACGTATAGAAGGTTCGTACAATGTCCTTTGGACTTAGTACTGTCTTTAAAGAAAGAAAGAAATTCTGGATGCTTCGTTGGGGATGAGAGTCTGTAAAATCAACTCCGGTATATACGGTGTGCTTTTCTCCTTTTATTTTACATTGAACAATCTAAGCACACATTTTTTCCCATTTTCAGGTTTTCTCCATTCATATTCACCATGAAGTTTTAGTCCTTCTGCCATGATGATAACGATGTCGTAAGAGTCATTTGTGTTGCAAAACAAAGTTTCTCAGTTGCTTGTAAAATAGTAAATTCTTTTACATGGAATGCCATGATGATAACGATGTCGGTGCAGGTCCATATTGGGTACTTTGGGTCACTCTTCCTGATGGTGTTCTCTCACCATTGTCTCAACACCTTAGCATTTTGCAGAGATTTCTTCGGGACTTGAAGGGAACACTGTCTCCTTTGAGCCACTTTCTTATAAAGAAATAAAAAATTTATCTTTGAGAATTAATCTTGTTTATATAAACCGTGCGTTGCAGATATGAAGGGAGCAGTCTGTTACATTAAGCAGAAAATTCAAGCTGCAAACAAGTTACTTACTCCTACAAACATGTGCATTCTCTACCCCAACCGTCAAGGATAAAATATAACATCTTTCCTTTTTCTGCAGTTGTGTTGTGGTGGAGGACATCGGCATGGGCCTTGCAGTAGCCAAAGTTGCTGAAGTATATCGTAACCAAAAGCAGGTAACTTACTGACACTATATGAACAAAAAGAGTGCTTCCATATTTCCCACCTTCTTGGTATCTCAGATTATGCTTCTAATTTGATGGAAAGTTCATGAGCATGCTTTGTGTGTAATCCTTGCTAGTCATGTATGTCAAATTTTTGGGACAATCAAATGAGAAACATGTTCACTTCATCTCTTAAAACTCCAATTTCAGGTACATAGCTGAAGAAGACTTTCAAAATGCATATGCAAACTTTGACTTCTTTGGAGATTCACCGGAGGAGTGATTTTACTTGGGAACCTGCAGAAGCCTTTTGCCAAACAGTAACAGTTTATGAATTAAATTAATTCATTCAAAGCCGGTCCTCCATCTACAAAATGTTGGTGAAGGGTTACAAAATGTTGGTGAGGAGTCTCATGATCATGAAATTATTGAAGATGATTTCTTGAAGGTTGAAATTTCATGGAGTTTTGCTTAGAGTGGTTGTATATGATTTTACTTTTGATTGTCGGGGTTTACACTCTACCCCACCCATTGTATGTTTTCTCAAGTAATATAATTTGGGCGTGAGGGCCTAACCCCCCAGCTTCGACTGAGTTCCAGCCCTCTTTAATTATATATTTTTTTAAAATATATGTTTGTGTATTAAAAAAAGGTACCTTTTGAGCCTTCACAATGTGCACTAAAAAAACTTACGATCGGCCCTGACAACACCTTGCAGGGACGGAGCCACCATAGGCTTACTAGGGGTGGATGCCATTTAAGATTATTTACCTTATTATGGCATCTAATACTCCTAAGTTGTCCGTGTAAGTCCTTGCAGCAGATAGAAGAGTGTGACTTTTAAATTGTCAAGAGGCCATTAAAGAAATTAAACTCAACCAAATGATGTATCTTGAAATAAATAAAATTCGCAAAAGAAAATAAAAAGTAAACCCGTTCAAATGTGAAGGTATGGGCATTGTGACATTATTTTGTGTACAAACTAAATCTGAGACCAAGATGATCCTCTTTGGATTATGTTAGTGAAGATTTTGGGGATTCGTAAATTGTGTTCGTTCATCGTACATCGTGCGGTTACTTTTTTTCAAGTACTGTTTGTGTTTAATTTTAAATAAAAATATTTAAAATAATTTATGATTGCATGATATACGATGAACGGATACGATAAACAAACGCAGTATGCAATGAGCTAGTAATCCTGATGTAGATATTCCTGTTGAAGTACAAATTAGCTCTTCAAGGGCAGTCATTGGTGAACCTATTGATGGTGAATTATTACAAGGGCTTTTTACTGCCATGGCAAAGTAATTGGGAACCATAACCTACGAATTTCTTCCTCGGTGGATTATGTACCTTATCATTAGTCTATAGATATAAAATCTATAAACTAATGATAAGGGTAGAAATTTTTTTAAAAAAAATATTCGTCCCTTGATTCAAACTGTATATATTTTACTACAACATTTACATATCATCTTTACTAAAAAAAATTAGGAAAATTTAAAACTACTAATAGTAAAGAAAATGGACGAATATGATTATACAAGAAACATTAAATTTAACCCAACGGTCATATGATCCCGAATTTTGATGATTTTTGGCAAACATGATCTTTGAGGTAAGACATAAAATATAGATGATTAGAATCCTTGAACTACATTACAGAGAGGACTCCACATGAACGTATGTCAAAAGTGTGTGTCACCGAATTTTAACCCTTACATATAGATATATAAGAGTAGAAGATATTTGGATAAGGCAACTGGGTGTAGTGGTGGGTGTTGTGTTGTACATAATCATTTGAACAAGAATTAAACACGAGACATGGAATGCATAAATGAATACAATTTAACTATTTTGAGCTACAAGCATTGCTCTAACAATTCATTCTTTTCCAAAATGTTCCCATAAAAAGAAATGAACAAAAAGGAAAATTAATGAAATAATGACCGGCTCTAGATAGTCCCAAAGATTATCCTTTCAATCCGTGTGAAACAAGATCAGCCATTTTTCCCATCATCCAATCCAAACAGACCTCATCTTCCTCAAGAACTCGTACAAATGAAACTGATCACTCTTCCTCTTCCACTCCCATCCACCACCACCGCCACCACCACCCTCCTCTCCCCCAAACCCCAACTCCTCCGCTTCAAATTCAAACCCCAATCATCTCTCCAGACAACTATCAACCCCCCAAAATCCCCATTCCCGCCAAACCCCAAGTCCCCTGTTATTATCATCGGCGGAGGACTCGCCGGCCTCGCCGCCGCCACCCACCTCAACTCCCAGAACACCCCTTTCCTCCTCCTCGAAGCCTCCGATGCCGTCGGCGGCCGCGTCCGAACTGACGTCGTCGACGGGTTCCTTCTCGACCGCGGCTTCCAAATCTTCATCACCGCTTACCCCGAAGCCCAGAAACTTCTCGACTACCAATCCCTCGACCTCCAGAAATTCTACTCCGGCGCCCGTATTTACTACGGAGGTAGTTTCCACACCGTCGCCGACCCCCTCCGGGATTTCTGGAACTCTATCAAGTCCCTCGCCAACCCGATCGGATCCATTCCCGATAAATTGCTCATCGGATTGACGAGATTTCGGGTTCTGACGAAATCCGACGACGAGATATTCTCCTCCGGCGATGAAGTCTCCACGATGGAGCTGCTGAGGGGAATCGGGTTCTCCGATTCGATCATCGCCCGATTCTTTCAGCCGTTTTTTGGCGGCGTTTTCTTCGACAAAGAGCTCGAAACAACTTCCAGATTGTTCAATTTCATCTTCAAGTGTCTCGCCCTCGGCGACAACACTCTCCCATCCAACGGCATTAGCGCCATCCCACAGCAATTGGCCGCGAAATTGCCGTCCGATTCGATCGTTCTCAATTCCCGAGTCGCTTCGATTGATTTCAGCGGCGACGAGTCTTCGTCGCCAAGTGTGATATTGGAGAGCGGAGAGGTTTTGAGAAGCGAGCTTGGAGTGATAGTGGCAGTTGAGCAACCGGAAGCGGATAAGCTTTTGGCGGGAAGGATAAGTGCACCGGTCCGGACCAAACCGGCTCGAAGTACAGTTTGCTTGTATTTCACAGCAGACCGGGCCAACATTCCGGTTTCTGACCCGGTTTTGTTTCTTAACGGGTCGGGCAAGGGCATTGTGAATAATATGTTTTTCGCAACCAATGTGGCTCCGTCTTATGGCCCACCCGATAAGGCTTTGGTATCGGTATCGCTTGTCGGAGGTTTTGAGGATGTGACGGATGATGATCTGACGACTGAAGTTGTTCATGAGCTCTCTGGCTGGTTTGGGGGATCAATGGTGGGATCTTGGAGACACTTGAGAACGTATCGGATTAAATTTGCGCAACCAAACCAATGTCCGCCGCTCGATTCGAAGAGAAACCCTCGGGTCGGGTCGGGTGTGTATGTGTGCGGTGACCATTGGACGACTGCCACATTTGATGGGGCGTTGGCGTCGGGAAAGAGAGCGGCAGAAGCTTTGCTTAGAGACAGTGCCTTGAATAGGGTTGTTTAGCTTATGACTTCATGTTTTTTGTGTTTCTTATCAAACAATGGCCTGTGCTTGTAAAGAGTTGGTGAAAATATTTTTTGAATTAATTTTTAGTAAAAATGTAAGTAAATTTTGAAAAAGTAAGTATTTTCTACAAGAATTATTAGTTACATGTTTCTTGCATGAAACATTTAAAGTGCTTTTAGAATTCGAAAATATTTTCATTAAAAACATTTTCAATTATTTTAAAAGCATTTCCAAACGAGTCCTAATTTTTACATAGAGTGAACCATTAATATTGTTGTCTTTTGGATTACAGCATTCAATTGAGGGGTACATGTAACTTTTGTATATTCTATTTTTCAAAAAATGTGGAATTTAAGATTACATTTTACAAGAAGTCATATCTTTCTTTTAGTTTGTAGTTTGAATTAGTTTTTCTTGTTGGAAGGAATTGGCTTGAACAACATACATGCATAATACACTCATGTTATTGGAGAAATGTGCACATATAATTTTAAACGTAAATGGACAATATGTTCTTCTCATTATATAATTGAAAAAATAAAACATTTAATTTTCTTTTAAAATATAAATTATTGTGAAATCTCATCTCCGGAATTTCACCATTCATTACGTATCTTGTTATTACAAACGACTGAGTACAGGCGCAGTGAGAATTGGAACTTGGAACCAGAAAGATTTTACAAAACAAGTATCAATCATTTTATTCAAAGTAGAGGGAAAAGATAATATCACTAAATATAAAATATTATTGATAGAATAAAATAATAATAAAATAAAAAAGAGAGGAAGTGGGGAGAACCATCGAGAAAAGGGAAGAAGGAGAAAGGAAGGAAAAAGTAGGAAAGTTGAACGGAGAGGGGAATCCTCCTCCTTGTGAAGGAACAAGTTATGGCAGAGCTCCTCCGTTCCTTTTTCTGAGTAATAGAGATAGGAAATCTGCTTCATGCTTCCTTGGTTGCAACCGGATCAGACCTGTTGCACATGTTTGCAGTTGGAACGATTATATATGTATAAAACCTGAAAGGGATGGAATTGTTTCTTATTAAGGATGCTTTGTGTGTGTGTGTGTGTGTGTGTATGTATTTATTTTCTGTTGAACTTACTTGTATCACTGGAATTCATATCATGCCTTGCCATAACTGAAGACATGATTCGGTGAACTACGAATGACTTGATCCCTATTAAGGGTACGTAGGCAATCTAACAAGGATGTTAGATGCAGCTATAAAGTAAACGAAAATTACTATGCAAACTAATGCTTGAGTTATGCTTTGTACATATCTCGGAGGCGGGGTATGTTAGATATACAGATACTTGATGACGTCATGTGTCGATCATGAACATATGTTGGGATCAGGTGTGACAATTATGGTCAAATATAAATGGACGACAAGGTTGATACTAATTAATACTAACTAAATATCGTTTATCTTATAAGTAGATGACAAGGTTTATAATCTTTCCATTTTTTTGGAGAGAAATAGGCGGGTGTAAGATAGGATAGCATTTCCTTAATGTAATTTTTCTTATTCCTTCAAGTTGGATGTAATTTTTTCGTTTCGTTCTTCACGATTACTTTGAATATATTTAATCATCCATTTCAACCAGTTGTAGAGACCAAACAAGATAAATAGATATATGTGGTATCAGTGATGAATCCAAAATTTAAACCTTGGGAGGTCCCAGTGTTAAATGTTTAAGTTTTTTAGATAGAAATAAAGCGCAAAGTGCGCAAAAGTAATTCAATTTATTCATTGAGGCATTTCATTAAATACTTGGTGGGGTTTGTTATCGTCTACTGAACCAAGTTCTGCACATGTCAAAAGATATTCACATATGTCGAAGCAATTTGATGAGTACTATTAAGATAATTTGTCGAGAGTTGTAGATGCAACTTGCAAGAGGCATTTCGTCAAACACTTGGTGGGCGCAAAAATGGCCTGTACCAAACATTTAGAAAGTTCTTGGAAGACTTTCAAATATATATTTCTCGAACTCCAAACAATTATGGCACCAACTTGGTCCCAATATGCATCCGTAACTGTGTGGTCTAATATAACTTCATTGAGTAACACTACATTAGCGGTGTGAACTATTTGACC